TGCAAAGTCCTCTTTGTTTTCAAATATTTCTTATCGTCCATTCTAAGTCAAAATTGTAAGGCACTAAACTCTTAGATCCCGACCTATGCATACACAAAGTAACAATTTTAGAAAATAAAACTTAAAGTACTTAAAAAAAAATTTGGATTTTCGGTTTTTCTCTTTTTTTTTAGTTTTTAGTTTCTCAAAATTTTTTAATAGTTTTTATAATTTTCAAAAATGAAAAGTACTAAAATTAATTTTTAATTCTCCTAAATATAAAACTACAATTCAAAAAATTTTTTAAATAAAAAAGTTTCGTCGCTTTCGTGGACAATGACGCCAAAACTTGACCCGGCTTACAATTACATAGATATTTTTGCTCTAATAGATTGCCAAAAAATTGTCCCAAATTATATTTAGCGGCTAGTGTGACAAAATGAAATAATTTAGAAAATATATAATAAGCCTTCGCACTATGAGTATTATGTAAGTATACACATCGTTTAAAGTAATATAAGATTTTCCTTAAAAAATCCCAATATCAATCCCATGGGAAAAACTGTAACTTTTAAATAATAACTAAAGAAAACTTATATGTAAATTGCAGATAAATATGATAGGAGAATAATGTCAATTTTTGCAATGGTTAAAACTAAATTTAAGCAGAAAGTATGAACAAAGTTTTAACAGATTAATAAACTTTGAAAGACTAATAAAGTTTTAAACGAGTTTGAATGTTATGAAAAGATCTTTCCCTTTGCAAAGAGATATTAATCAATGTAGGATTTCAATGATTAAAAATATAATGATATTTGTGACAAATAAGAGCATACTCATCCTTCACCCCCTCTCGGTGTTAGCAAATAACATTGACTAACAAAGAGTTTATTCCATCTTGTATAGTAGTGCTAAGTAAATTCTGGCCTCTTACTTCCAGATTACTCACCGTGCCCTCTCTATAGAATCTACTAGGGACCCTTAGATCCAAACTCAAGACCGAATTGATGATAAAATCTAGCCTGTCACCCTAGAAACATCAATTCTACACTCATCAAAACTTATCTCCCTATCTATTTGCTCCCCCCTTGGACGTTTGCATTGGCTCTATCCAAAGTGAAGTGGGGTACTCACTAGTTGGTGAAATCATAGCCCTCCCAGGTCATTATATTTTGCAATAGATTTTAACATTACAAATGACAAGTTTGCAAAGTAAATTAAGAACCAGTGAAAATATCACCGCAATTTTTAAAATAAAAAGAAATATTTAAACCATTCTCATCTCGTATAATTAATTTTCATATGCAAGGAGAAAGAGAGAAAACTACTCTGAATTCATGGATATAAAATAAAAACACATGATTTGTACTGAAAGTCAAATCTTAACAACAAAAACTCAAACACAAATACAAGATACCTTTCTCATGTCTTCTCGCCAAGCAATTTGTGAAGTCTCCTTTAAACAATCTCCAAACTCTTCTTACACAAACAAAGACTCACCCTTACACAGTAAGTGACTCTAAAAATCCGCCCAATTCACTAAAATGTCTCTCTAAAACTCCTCATTTTTGTTCAACAATTGTCCCTTTTAATAAACCTCTAAAAATAACCAAGGCTTGGTTCAATCACCCCTTCAAATTCTGGTCACTTTCAATGAACCTTCTAGAATTTTGGTTAATGACGCTATGATGCCAGCCTGGAGCGCCATAGCGCCACCTTCTAGTCATGCCTGACGCTATGGCGACATTGATATTTTTGTCATTTTGCTCTATTTTGCACATATTTTCTATAAATATTCATTCATTGTACCTGAAATCAATAATATTCAAAATATCTTTCTTTAAAGTGTAATATCATAAAAAATATGCATAAAATGAACATTAAATGTATATTAAACATTAAAAAATGAACATTAAATGTATATTAAAAATAGGTATTTTTTCAGGTGTATCATAAAGTAGTCATAAACAACCCACAATACCACTATATCACCAAAATACCATCACTATACCACTATACCACTATACCACTAAAGTATTATCACAATACCACCACAATACCACCTAATTACCACTGTAATACCAACACAATACATCACAATACCACCAAACTATCACCTAAATATCACCATAATACCATTATAATACCACCAAATGCAACCACAATATCACCATAATATCAAAAAAATAGCACCACAATAGCATGACAATTCCATCACCATACCACGATAATTCTACCTTAATACCACCACAATATCATCATAATACATCTATAATACCATCAAAATTGCACCACAATTCACTATAATACAACATAAAAACCACTACAACACCATCACAAATACCATCATGTTATCACCATAATATGTGTTTTGGTGGTATTGTTATGCTATTGTTGTGGTGTTTGATAGTATTAAAGTGGTATTGCTGTGATATTTTGATGATATTGTGGTGGTATTTGGGTGATATTGTGGAGCTATTTTAGTGATATTTTAGCGGTATTGTGGTGGTATTGTGATTATTTTGTAATGAAAAAAAATTATTTTTTTTCTCACAAATGAACCTTATCTTCCTCTCTTCTCATGTAAGAAACAAATAAAAGCTTAATCAAAATATATTTATTCAAACCCTACAAAAATACTACACATAGTTTAAATATGATATATCCATATAAAAAATCGCATTGATTCAAACTACAAACGACATCAAACAACCCTAAAGCAATGTTATCATTTTAATGGCAATTAAACTCACCTCAATTTCTTTCTTATCACAAAACTTTTTACTATTCATTATTAAAATTGCTTTCTTGTCATGCCCTTCAGAACTTATCGAGGGTTATCGCCTAAACCCTAGATAGAAAAGTGAAAGAAAAGCCCTAGAGCGAAAAAGGGATTGAAGACGAAGTGTGGGATTTTGAACAGGGCATGTTTTTTCCCCTCCTATTATCGGGCAGGTTTCGAACCAGGCTGCCCCAAAATGCCACTTGTTTTTCATTTTTTAATTGAGAGAGGCGGGGCCTGCTAATGCAACATCTGGCACACTCCTACTGGAGTCCGAATGGACTTTAGACGCAATATTTTCTCAATAAACTAGTCCTTGAGAGTGATATTTTACTTTTAGAAAGATAACAATGGTGACATTTTTGATATGATGTTAAAGATTCAAGTGGTATGTATGTAAATATGACTTTTAAGATCTTACAAATGTATATATATATATATATAAGAATGGTGTGGTATGTATGTAAGAATGGTGTGGTATGTATATAAGAATGGTGTGGTATGTATGTAAATGCCTCTAAAGTATTTTAAGGGGTATACTTATATACATAACACAGTTCTTGTTTATTAACATATCAATCATATAATCTTTGATAATTACATGCATATCAATTAAATCTTTTACATCGCATCAAAAATATCACAATTTCTAATTTTTTAAACATGAATACATCTTTTCATGCATAGGTTTATAACGCCTAAGCGCTATAAATATAAATATCAAACTACATGTGTTAAATTTGTGGGTACATAAGAATAGTGTAGTATGTACATAAATTGCCAATATTGTAGTTGATCAATTAGTGTGAATAGATCACGGTGTACATGAGAATATTAAGAAAAGAAAATAGCTTATAGCAAAATAAAAATCAAGATTTTTCTGTAAATTATGTTGAGAAGTATCTCATCATATTTGGGCAATTGGGAACTAAAACTGAGAAATGATCATAAAGAACAGTTTTACTGGTAAAATGAAAGAGTGATGCAACAAACATTTGTAGATATTGCATACAATTAGATGCTCGGCATGATGTATTGATTAGTAATATATAATAACTTCCAAGTTATTAACAATCATAATTTTCATCAGCATTTCAGAATTAAGTTGCAACATACAAAATTATCATAAATTTCCACCTATAAACCATATACCACACCATTAGATTAAAGGTTGGTTCTGAGCAAAATTTTCACTGCGTTATCAATGTCACCACAACTACATCTACCAAAACGGTCTAATATTTAGTTTTTTTAAAAAATATATATATAATATTCACAATCACTTTTATTACAACCTCTTGCCAAAGAAATACAAAACAGAAGTGGCCTTCTGATTTGATTAGAGGGGTAACAACTAATAAAATGCTAAAAGAAAAAAGACAGCCGAAAAAATAAATCAGCTACTGGCTGACACTAATTAAATGCCAATCTTTAGAGCAAGCCATTGTGGGCTTCAAACTAACTCCAAAAAATTAACGGATGTTTTTCTAGTTGATCTTAACAGATTTATTATAAGAAAACAAACACAATGAATTTAACCTTAATGTGCCCAACGCCACAAACGAATTCAACTGAATTTAATTTTAATTGTTTTCTGGATTTAACAGCGTTTGATTTTAATAAATCCTAATTTACTTGATAAAAAAATTCAAATTTGCAAAATTTATTAATTTCCAATCGTAGTTGCAGCCAAACACCAGCTAAGTTGGGTTCGTAACTCAAGCCACTTAATTCAGAAATTTATTCTCGCAATGTCTTCTAAATTCAGGGTAATACTGCGGGCAGTATTGCCGCCCACAGCACAAGATTGGCTAATTTGATTTCTCTAATAAAAGATCACTAAAGAATACGTCTGGATTTCAATGTCAAGACATGATACCTTGGTCTCCCTAGCCTCGCTGCCGACCACAAAATTTCTGTTTGAAAATTTTGTTGGAAAAGCAGCATATTATCATGCATACATATCTATAAATAAAAGCGTGTGGAGATGCACAAGAGGCAGCGTACAAGGAATTAGCGGCGCGGTCAATAATGGCTAGCTTTTCCGAAAGAAACTAAAAGCTAACAGCCAAGCTTGGCCAGCACCCAGACCAAGAATTCACTAGGAGGCATGCATACAACTGTCGTCTGTAAACATACAACCCGGAACCAGCCGAGCGGAAATTGTTCCCTTCTCATCATTCGTCCACACGAGAGCAATAAAAATTTAACAATTTTTCAACTTAGAAAAACTCTCATATGAACACACCTGTAAAACCACGCCATACTCGCTCCCATGGTAATTAAACATTAAAAACTCTTTACACAAACGTTTTCTTTCACAAAAACTCGAAAGCTAAACTACAAAAAAGGTGAATAAGAAGAAGTGCATGTTTCTTCCCTAGTATACTGGAGTCACCTCCACTTCCCTGTATGGGGAAGAGGACCCTGCAGGGGAAACAATTTGAAGTGGTACAAAATGGCTCCAACGGCCTTCCACAATTCCATCCAACACAGGAGAATCATCCTTGATCATCGTTCGGAAGGATATGGAACCCCGCTTCGTCGATGCGTCCGAATTCCTCGACACATCTTGATGGCTCTGGTTAGCAATTAACGACGCATCTTCGTGAAAGTAGTCATCATAAGGAGTGTCGTTATTTCCACCAATATTTTGTTCGATGTCTCGCAAGATGAGTGAATCTGCAACAGGGAGGTAGACTAGAATGCATATGCCTATCATATTGCAAAACAGCAGCATGAGGAAGGCGAAGAATACAAGCATTTCATAGGCCAGATTTCCTACATGAGGCAGCACTGAAAATCCAAGCAAGAGCACCCTTAGCGGGAGGAAGAAAATCACAGACAGCGCGAGGAAGTAAACCCTAATTCTCAATCCCTTGTTGATCACCAGAGACAGCAATCGGGCACCAACGTAAACTATATAACAGATGAGAAGAAAATACAGTAACCCTAGAATTATGGTGCTCAGAAGAGGGTAAGTGCATATGCACCTATTATTCACCAAATATGTGCTCGTGAAGAACTTGGCCATCTTCTTTCTTGTTCTAGGTATCTCCTCCTTGTTAAATTTTGGTCCTAATAAAACGAGGACCAGTTGGAGGATGAATATGGGAATGCAAAGAAGGATGACAAACAAAACTGTCTTCCTGTTCCACCTCTGACTCAGAGTGCCTGATTCTCTCTTCTGGAGTGAAGCATGGAGTAAGAAAGCAAGCATGAGAAAGATGATTGGTTCGGCAAAGCCAAGATTTGACAGGATGTAGAACTTGCAACCATACTTCTGCCATCTTATGGTAGAGAAAAGCTTTCCTGCTCCTCTCAGGAAACTTAATCTGAGAATTTCACCAAATCCCCACCAAATTGAAATGACTATTATCGTGATTCTGATGATCCAGGGGCCATTAAAGTACCTGAGGTGTAAAAAGCCTCGTCTTTGAATCTGAAGATGAAAATAGATACAGCGATAGATGCACAGTAATCCCAAGATGGAGGTCAAAGCGACAAGGACAATGGTCACCACACCGAATACATCGGTGGCAACTCTGGTCAGGGGCATCACCCAAAGCACAGATCCTTCGCATGCTCCCCACTAGCAGCGGCATATACCAAGAAAGCCCTCACTTGATGAGGAGATATTTGCTGGAATGCTAGTAAGTGATCGACTATAACCTGAGTTTGATCCAGAATTCATATGGGGTTGAAGGTGTATCCTAGAAAGTATGCCTCCTCCTTCCAAACTTTCTGAAGTCATATGAGTACTAAAATTACAACCTGAGAGCTGTAGCAATCCAATGTACAGCAAAGCTTATAATGTTAGCTCATAGAGAACTCCTTGGTCCAAACAACGCCTGAGCAAAAGAATTTTGTTAAAACAATGCTGGAAAACTTCCTAAGATACATAAGATATGGGCTACAATAAATAATTGAAATACAGAGACGGAAAAGCTGTTAAACATCAATTAAAAAGATATTTCAATGGCGATCAGAACAATGAAAAAAGCAAGGTTGTGATAAAGTGAATTAAAAAAATAAATTCAGTTACAAGGTTCAGCTGATTTTGGTTTGTAATTAAGGTTGAATGCCTAGTCTTCAAACATGGTTGCATAATTAGACAAAAAGGACAATAGTAACGCTTAAGAGCCCTGAATAATTAAGAACTCTGAATAAGGTCCAAAAGTTCTTTCTAATGAAGTAATAGTTACAAAGTATTCAACATGTCATTAATTCTAACTTAGCAAAAAACCGCAAAAAAAAGTATATAATCCAACAGAATGACAATGATAAATGAAATCATCATGCAGTAAATGAACAAATAAAGATTGAAAAAATGTACTCTAAAGTATCAGAGAATTTTAGTTCCATAATGAGAGGATTGCATGTCAAACAAAGTTCAAGCAATGGCTCTAAAGAACGAAACAAAACAAATTTTTGTGTTGCTGTAAACGATGAAGCATGCTAAGAGAAAGTTTTTCCACTTCAATTTTGCGCAACACGTTCAACATAAAACTAGTCCTACCAGAAAAAAAAAAAAAAGGCAAAACGAAAATTAGGCTTTTTCTCATGACAAAGCACTCCATTGTATCAAAGTAAAACAGAAACAGATAAACGTAACTAACGTCCTTGTACTTTATTGACAGCAACACACGCAAAGAAAAATTCAAAAGGTGCAGACAGACGACAATGGAATACCACAAGGAACTTGGAATCATGTAATTTAATACAAAAGTTCGCATGTCCCTAACAATTAGCCCAAGTGTTTCAAATTATTCTCCAACTTACTCGGTAGCTTTAAGTGCATCAACCAAATATCACAAAGCTTCTTTGGAAACCATAAGTTACTACACAGTCCAACTCAATAAATTCAACTCCATTGCTGATACAATTGTCATAAAGGAAAAAGATAGAGTACTGCTAAGAAATTACAAGACAATGAAACGAAAGCAAAAGAAATAATCATAGCTCATGACGCTAAAGTAAAAAAAGTCCATGATCAACCAATAACCAGATACACTCGACATTTGCAGACTCTTAAATATTAAAAGCAAAAAAGACCCTCACAGAGGCATATAACAGGAGGCTCACCGTATGGATCTTTGAGCGTCCCGCATTCAACCAAAACCCTAACATCCAGCACCAGCAACGAATAACGAAGTTGAAAAAAAGGGTCCGGAACGACAAGTTCAGATCCGATGAACCATCACGGCATCAGCAGACCGAAGAAGAGGAGCAGGTAAACCCTAGCGAGCGGAAGATCACTGTGCGTAGTTGGGCAAGAGCGTGCGAGATAGAGAGAGAAAGAGACGAAGGAGGCAAAGAAAAGCTGGCATGGCCGGGTTGCTGACAGCCTGTCACCAGCTGTCTTCTGGCTCGGGCTATCTCTACCGTAGCTTAGGAGGGATCTTTTCCTACTGGGCGCTATCTCATAGCCTCGTTGGAGCGGAAACTCGCACCGGGGTAACCAGATAAAAATATTTCCTGAATTGACTTTTCTGGCCGCGTAGGTTATGATAAAATTACGTATCTCCCTGTGCTGGAAGCCGACTAACACGAATAGAATATGGGTATTTTAGTCTTTTCAGTTAATGACTGTTCCCAGGCTGGCATATTAGTATACGATCAAACGGGTCGGATCTTAATTTGAAAGCCTGTGACCATGAAAGGCAAACTTTTTTTTTTAAATATGAATTATTTATTTTAAATTAATTATGTAAAAATAACTAATTATTGTTTATATCAATTTATATTAAATAAATTGAAGTTTTATCATGCTCACATATTTTAAATCATATTATTGTAGACAGATGTAATTAAATGTTAATATATATATATATATGTATATATGTATATATATATAATAACATTTAAATATAGATAAGATGTTTGCTCGTAATTTTTTTTTATAAGAAATTAAAGCTAAAGCATGAGACCAAATATGAAGGAGTGCATCTAAGTTGTAATTTAGTAACAAGTGGCATTTAGAATATAAGGAAACAGATATCTGACGCACCTCTATTAAGACTACTATAAATAGTAAGGGTAGTTTAGTTCAAAAGTTTCATCATAGTTGCTCTCACCTCACTCACTTGTTAGTAGGGCAACCAAAAAAATTTCTCGTTTGTGAATAGCTCATGTTCTGTTGCTAAGATAAGCATATAAGTCGAATACGAATATTTTTTTAGGCTTGGTTTATAAACGAGCCGAGCAAATAGACGTGTTCGTTGTGTTCAGCTCATTATTGTTCAAGTTAATTTTAAAAAATTATAATCGTATAACAATACTAGTTATAAATTTATTGAATAAAAAAATATAAACTAAATCATTGGAATCATTTTATTTCATGTAATTTTATTTTAGCCATATGATCATAATGGGATGGCTTAAATTAAATAACCAATTTTTTTTAATAATAAATATTTAAATTAGAAAATCCTAATTATAATTCCCATAAATATCATATTCCTATATACTAAGCCCTAACCCATGGGCCGCAGCAGCAGCCATTTGGTTTTCTTTTCGAGTTGGGAGGAGCTTCGAGGGAAAGCCTCTGCTAATGTTAGGGTTACCATTTAATCGACGAACAAGTTCCTTTGCTCTTTCTCCTATAAAGAAGTACTCATCTCTGATTTTCTAGCACTTGTGGCCTGTGAGTCTTGACTTATCATTGTGCTTTCTCTACACTAAAACTGAATCTCTCCTCTCATTTAGCTAATTTAATGATAGATACTTGGCTAGCCCCTCTCTTGTCTTTAATTTTTATTATTTGCAGAAGATATTATCCCCATTTGGGGCGAAATTGTGAATATGGCTGCTATATTCTATGGTGAGGGTTTGATAACTCAATGTACTAGTTGTAGGAAGCCATTACATTTGGGTTTATTATGATATTATGTTTTATTGATATTTGTTTTAGTTTGGCTCTTTAGTTTTTTTTTCTTTTTATAGTTTGAAATAGTTCAATAGTCACTTCATTTCAGTTTTCACATACGCTGATATTCCTAGTTTGCTAAATTGAGTATAGGATGCCTATTAATTTATTTGACTGAGTGTTAGTGTTACTATGTGAGTCACATTTTATATCATTGTAAACATTGCAACGATTGTTTGAATATCAATTATTAATCAATGACAAACTAACAATATTGTTGCATTAGATTTTTGTTTTCATTTTATTGAACTAAAGTTTCATTGAGAGAACTATAAGCATGCTAGATTTGGCTATCATTTGGCATCATACGTGTGTATCACATGTTTTTGTTATGCTTCAAGTACTTGATCTTGATCATTTTAGCTCAGAATTTAGTTGAATGATGATGCGCCCCTAGTGTGTGTTGTTTTTTGCATATTTTATGTCAATTTAAATCCTTGGTAAGAGTGCCAAAAACTTGACCCATCCCGAAATTACGCAGTAATTTAGCTTCCAAAATATGGCCAAAAACTTTACTTACTTTATATTAAGTGGTCAAAATGTTATAAAATATATAAAATAATTCACACACTAGTGGTTCTACGTAAGTGCACTTATCACTTCAAGTAATAAATGATTTTCTTTAAAAACACCAGTATTGATCCCACAAAGAAGCGTAGTAAGAAATCTCTTAGGCTAATTCTAGTCTACTACCATCAAGTCTTAGTTTGGAAAATGGAAATTCTTATGATAATAACATAAATCACAATATTCAAACTATAAAAATTAAGGTAAGAAAGACAATTTAAAATGGGTTTAATGAATGCTAACAAAAATGTAACTAGAAGAACTAAGTTTACTAAACTAATTTCTAAACTTCAAAGTTAAATTTACTAAGACTAAATAAAGTTTTGTGAGGAAGTTCAAATTTAAGAAAGCATCATTCCCCTTTACAATGAGTACATGGTTAGTGAAGTAATTAAGACCACTTAAAATTATATATAAAATTGTATTGTGCAAAATAGGAGCAATCATATTATTTACCCTCTATCAAGTGTATAAAGAACATTGACTAATCCAGAGTTTGGCCCTTAATTTCATGTTTAGGTTGGGAGGATACCGACTCTCACTCCAGAGCTCCCACTTCTCCCTTGCTTAAGGGCTAACAATCTCGCATTAGTTTCCAATCAATTGGACCAAAATGGGGATTTTAATATTTCAACTTAAAATCTCCAATTTTGCATCCAACAAAGTATATTTCTCTATTTTTTTGCACTCAACCCCATGGATTACATTCTCACCCATGAAATTGAATGTGACTCTTACCTTTTTTTAGAAAGAATAACCCTTTCAAATCTTATGTTTCTCACTAAATTTTAACATTTCAATTGACCAAATCAAAAAGTAAATGGATATCAGAGTTCGAATCATCACAATTTATTAACATCTAAAACTGTATTAAACAAAATCAATTCTTCACAAAACTAAATCTCATTGTAGGGAGAAGGATAAAGAAGAATACATAGAATTCATGAGAAGGATACGAAAAAACATGGATTTCATGTATAAAAACAAGTTTACAAAACCAAGAATAAAAATAACATAACTTATCTCACACTTCTTCCCAAGCAATTCTCTAGAAGTTCTCTTTAAGCGTTGTCTCTCTTTACAATTACACTCAATTCTCTCCTAGAAATGTAATGAAGAAGAAATCTCTTACCTTCCCTCTCCTCTTACAACCCTAAAAGAAAATCCTCTCTTCTCCAAAGACTTCCCCTCACTACACGCCACACTCATGCCCTAGACTCCTATCCTTTTTAATTTGGGGCTGCCTCCTTTCAAAAAGAATTCAAAATTCCCTCTCAAATTCTCTCTAAAAATCACACGTTTTGAATTCTAAAAGACATGTTCATTCATTCAAGAGACATATCCCATCATTAAAAAGCCTTCCAAAGTGTCTAGATGCATTGAATGACTCCATGGGGCATTTAAATCATTTGGAGCCTTCAAAATCCACTCAAAATTCGTTCAGAACCACCTTAATCTGTCTTATGTAGTCTCTAGCGCCTCAGGCACCAGTTCTCTGGATTTTAGTACCTCAGGCGCCATCCTACAGCAGCTTTACCGTTTTGCTCCGTTTCAGCTCTGTTTCGCTCCTAACATATATACCTACAAAATAAGCATGAAAAAGCCTTTCTTTAAAGTGTAATTTTATTAAAAAAACATGTGAGAAATATAAAGTAGTTAAGCATAAAAAGACATATTGAAATGTGCGAAGTCAGAATTTTATTTCTTGCTCGTTTTTACTCCAAATTGCACCATTTTGTCTTCATTTTCTCCAAAAGTTCATTTCTTGTACCTGAAACAAAAAATATGCAAAATAGCTTTCTTTAAAGTGTAATATCATTAAAAATCATTAAAGTTGAGCATAAAATATGTATATAAAATATGTAATTTTTAGACGTGTCAAAATCCCCGAAACTTAAACGTTACTTGTTCTCAAGTGACTCTTTTACTACAAAAAATATGACTTAGGATAGACATTAACTTATAAAATTCTATACTTTAATTTAATAAATTAAATAGTATATTTAAAAAAACTTTTAATAACTTTGATTAAAATTATAAGTATAAGAATGCTTAGTAATCAAATCTAAGATTTATAAATCTCCATTCATTTCAAGAAGAACTGTAATTTGTTATATCAAGGATATATAGAATATCCATATAAAAAAGAATTTTTATTAAGTATGCTAATACTCAAATACAAGTTTAGAAAATGTAATAAAGCATTTTCCTCAAGTTAATTCAAGTGAAACCAATTTTTGATACCAATTTTTGATTAGGCTCTCTTCACATTTTTTTTTATTCAGGATCTTTTCAATCCTTTTTTTTTTCTTTTCTTTTTCAAGTGATGATTACTATATCTGGATAGCCTTTAATAATTTTGAACTTCACTATCCTCTTCTTAAAGTTAAAACTTTTTACCTTTCTTCACTTTATAAATTCATATTAGTTTTGATGATTTTTCATGAAGTTTCATTCTTTTTATCTTACATGAAACTCTAAGATTTTTAATACTTCAAAAATATAATTTCATTTACTTTAAATAGAAAAACATAGTCTTATCTTTTACCAAATACTTTAACTTTAGCATTGACCTTCATTGTTAAAAACTTTTACCTAAATTTACCGTAATATTTACAAACATATTTAAATTCATTTAAAGTTAAACTCTAATATCGAAGGTCATGTTAAATTAAATTTTAAAATATAGTTAATTAATGACAAATAAATTTAATTTACTTCTTTTTAAAAGAAAGTTTTATTTTCCCCAAACTTGAGTTTTTAAATATTTTACACTTAATTCCATAAAATATAGCAGGAAGAAAAAGTAAAAGTTGAATCTACTAACTACTACAACATCCTATAGAATTCATATACGTGTATAATCAGGATAGAATGATTACAGCAGAAAGTAAATTTAGCCTAA